CACCTGATATCCATTCAAAAACAACTACATCTGAGTATATTTAAATATGTAATTTATTTTTTAGTTGGAAGGGGCAGCAGAAGAGAAGTTTTAAATAGCCTTTCCCCAAGAATATATTTGCAATTGGTGTATGTTATAGGACACAGACAGATTGTATAGTTGTGGGCATTCCTAACTTTTATTCTTTCATTTTTTATAAGTAAACTAATTTGCCATAGTGCAATCATTCTCCGCTTGCATTCCTCCAAATATTTAACTAATGCTATTACTTTTCTAAGAAAATGAGATGTGCATTTGCATCATGTTCTTGCAAAATCACATTGCAGTCCCACAGTGATTGACAAGCAATGCAATTACCTTTGCATGGCTAGACAGACCATCTCTGCATTAAAATAGGACTGCACCTGTTCAGTGCATGATGGTACCTCCCCTCTTCTGACTGGGCTGTGGTTAATTTATCTATTGCTGCATCCTTGACATGGACCCCTGTCCTGCTTTCCTACATACCAATATTTCAAGTGCACTTATTTGAAGAGGCTTTTTAAAGTATATGTAATTATTCTGAGAAACTAACAAGAGATTTTGTATAAGAGTTCTCCTATCCTCAGGATCGAGGAGGCTGGCCTTCAGTTTTGTTGCAAATATAACATCAAATAATACTTGGAGTTGGAGCAGTGTTCCATAGAGCAATGATTCCCTTATTTATTAGACTACCACCATCAGCCTCACCTGCGATCTGTTGGCAATGCGATTTCTTAGATCCCCACCCCATCCAGATCTATGGAGTCAGGACCTTTGGGCTAGGCTTGGGATCAGCTCTTAAGTCTTCTCGGTGGTCCTAATGCTCACTCAGGTTTGACCACCACTGCCTGCAGTAGTGGTTCAGTGTTTGGGGTGGGAAGTCAGACTACCTGGGCAAGAATCACAGCCAAGTCGATCTCTAGCTCTCTTCATTTCAGTTTCTTGCTGTCTGAAAAGAGGATGGTAATATTATTCACCTCCTAGGGGTATTGTGAGGATTCCGTGGGATAATGAGCATAGAATGTTTGGGGACTGACCCTCAGTAATTGCTGGATAAATGGGCGTAGCAGTGGTAACAGTGCTTGTGCTATTACTCATAACTTAGGAGAGACATATAGCATTTCTGGGGAACTGGCAGCCTGGCAAGTAGCTGCATTTCACCCTGCAGTGAGGACAACCATGCTGACTCCTCGCATTTTAGAGTCACGGTGGAGATGGATCATTCACTCTCCATTTCTCACCAAGATGTGCATGTGTTGCACACTGTAAAAAGAAGTAGTCCTTTTTTAATGTGGTTTATTATAGCAGCTAAAATTCTTGACATCCTTTTTCCAGGAAGCCACCATATTGTGGCGGGCTTCTTAAGACTCTAATGCTAGAAGTGATGTCCTTCCTCCAAGCCCTCTAAGAAGTCAGCACCTTCTAGCCACTAGGTCTTGCATTGGCTGTTCCCACTCTTCCTTCCTGTCCACCTAGCTAGGGCTGTGAGATTCCTATGTTGCTGACCCTGCCTCATGCTCTTGTGTTCAGAGTGCCTCTGTTCCTGTCCTCTGCACACCTATCCCAGCTGCAATTTTATATTGATGTGCATATCCTGTGAGTGCATGCCCACTCCCTGGACACTGCTTGCAGGCAGGCTTAGTGTGTTCAGGGTCTTGTGCTCTCTGCCCTCCATGCCTTGGCATGGTGGTTGGTGCACAGTAAAACCTTAAACTGCAGGGAAGTAACACTTGCCATTCAGTTTGAGCTTGTCAAAGTGAGGACACTGGATCAGTTTCTCTCTGGTTCAATATCTTATAAATGTGAGATGGCAGAGTCCCTGTAGGTTTCTATGGCCTGCGATAGAGGCAAAGCATAGCAACCAGCTTATCCTACTTTTTATCCAAAGGTAAACAACTGGGCATGTTCTTTTCTTGCTTCAGGGAGTCATGAATCAAAAAACAATTGACATGGTGGCACACAACTGGCCACAATGCACCCTAACTTGCCTTGGTCAAAGAAGGGACCAGTTTCCATGCCAGAGCCCAACTTCTGCCATGTTGGGGTGGCTCCATGCCTGATCCATAGCCTGTATCCCCTACAAGAGTCCCCAGGCCAAGGCTTGTATCTCTGCATTGTTCTCATAGAAGAGCAGAATAGGTCCCACAGTACAGATGTTTAAAAAGCCTTATTCCCCATGCTTACATATACATACGTACGCATTTGGTTAAACACATTTTGCCCTTGGTGGCTCCCTTGCTGTCTGATCTCTTGCCCTAGTCTCCTTATTGAGGGTCCTCTTTTTGAATCTGATTTCCCTTTCCCTCTTATTAACAACAGCCACTGATGCCAATAGCCAAATGGGAGAGAACCTGGGACTGCAGGATCTTGCTGCTTAATCTGTGATTAAATTCTGCATGGAATTTGCAAAGAAATGACCCTGGGTCAACCTCTGCCACTTCCTAATGCCCACACCCATCCTTTAAAATATGGACACTATTCATTCACACAGCTCCCAGGTCTGTGTGAGTGAATAGTGGTATCATGGCAGGTACATAGCGTAAGGCACTGGCTGCACCTTCTAAACCAACCACACACAGATACCTTCAACATGAGGCAGACATTGATAAGTCACCTAGTTAACCATCTGAAAAAGTGGCATTGGCATTCACCGGTGGCAGAGCAACTTCCGGTGGGCACTGGGACGCAGGGATGGTGATCTGCTGTTGCGGCTCAAAGCTAAGCAAGGTGCTCATAACTTTGCAACCATGAGCTCACCAGATCTCCCTCAAGGTGTGCCCTTGCTAACCTCTTCCCGTTTTATAGATGAGTAAGTGAAGCTCGTTTGTGTTAAGGACAGTCACTTGCCCAAGGATACAGAGCTATTGACTGGGGAGGCTGCAGTGTGACTCCAATGCCCATGTGTTTCCATCTCTCTTGGCTCATGAGTGGTGATCTGCCTGCTTTTGGGTGAAGATGTTGGGAGGAAAGGCATTCATAGCACAAGGAACAGTGCGTGCAAAGGCATGGCTGCATGAGAATGGGGTGGACGCTCTTGATAAGGCTAAGTGGTCAGCTCTGCAGTTTGGGGCCCAAACAAAATATTTGTTGCTCACTTCTGTTGCATCAGATCTGCTATAAGTCCTGTGAGCAGAGACTGCCCCTGCCTTCTGACCCCCATAGACGTATCCTTTCATGTTGGAAGTGTTGAGAGAATTCCAAGCACAGCTCAGGGCGCTGCACACCCCAGTGTCTTGGATTAGGCCTTGTTCAGCTTGACAAGTGCTCTGTGGCCTGCAGTCCTCTTGGAGTTAAAGTGAACAGCAGCAGAGACCTGGCCCACCAACCTCCTCAGTGTGTGAAATCCCTTCCATGTTCTTAAGGAGAGCCATGCTTGGGGTTGAAGGAATCCACTGAAAAGCTCTCAAAAGCACACTACAGTGTCCTCCAGCAAAGCAGTGTCACTGCCCTGTGTGTATATGGAGTGTGTACATGGTGTATGTATGTGTGTGAACATATGTGTGGTGTGTGGTATGGTGTATGATGTGTACATGTATTATGTGTGTGTGGTGTGTATATGTTTATGTGTGTGGTGTATATATTGTGTGCATATATGTATCAGGTTTGTATATGGGGTATGTATGTGGTGTGTGTGTGTGTGAAGTACTTTCTCTTGGCTCAATGTGCTTGGCTACTTGTAGATCCAGTCTGCTCCTGAAACCTGCTAGAATTCATTGATAATCAGAGTGATACTTTTAGAACCCCACCTTGTTGGCAGCAGGGCTCGTGGCCTTCATCAGTGACTAAATCATCTAGTGACTCCATTGGAAGGGATCAGGGCCAGTCATTCCTAACAGCTACTGTTCCCAAGGAACACGTGTTCGGGAGCAGACTTTCATAGTCGGGCACCCTGTGAGCCACACCAACCGTGAGGATGCTGGGCACAGAGGTTTCTCATTAAAAGCAGTTCAGTGCTTAAATCCATGTAATCCACTTACATGGATTTCCACACTCAGCTACGACCTTCTTTTCCTGGCATGTCGCTCAAGGTGTATCGTGGGACTTCTGGACAAACCAGGGCCAGGCTCGACCACCCTCCAAGCCCCTTTCTGGGATGATGGCTGTTACAGCAGTGACCAGACAGCTGCTGCGAGGTTGGGTTGGGGCAGCCAATGTGGGCCATGACTTGGTCTTGACACACGTTTTGTGAATGTACACACAGACATACAATGCACATACCCATGTCCACATGAGCACACATGAAAACACACCTAGGCACACACACATTCATACACACATGTACACACATAAAAGCCTATGTATGCATTTCTATACATGTGTACAAACACATGTGTATGGTGTACATGTACACGTGTGAAGCCCACACATGTGCACACATGTACATGTGCTCACCCATGTGTACAATTGGAGATAACCTCCTGCATCTACCATTAAAAAGTGGTACACAATGACCAGCTATAAACTACAGCACGAAAGAACATGGAAGACAGTTTTGAAACCACTCGGGTTGCCCAGCTTTCCTGAGGCCTTTCCGTGGTATCCCTTACTGGATGCTACAGTCTGTGTCTCTATCCTTACCACCCTAGTTTTAGACAGATGTTTGCCTTTTGTTCTCTTGTTTTTTCGGGGGGGATTCAAAGGCCAACCCTGACCTTTTAAGAGCTCACGTCTGTCTAGGCCACTTACGATAAATCTAGTCCGCTCTGCATTTAAAAGTCATGCATTTCAGCGCCGCCTCCCGAGAGTGGGGAGTTCAGTACCCAGCACACCGCCGCGTCCTGATCCTGGGCCGGCACCAACCCTCCACTGATTTTCTCAGTTTGCCGTTGTCTCCAACCTCCTTAATCAGTGTGGAAACTATCCTCAGTTCCGTGTTTTGGATCTTGTGAGCAGACTAACCTCGCCAGTGCAGGGTGGGTGTGTCTGCATGGGGAAGTGCACTAATATGGATGTTTCTCTTTGTGTGTGCACCCCTGCAGTGTTGTTTACCAGGATGGATTTTATGGTGCAGACATTTATGTAAGTATTCATTAACGTGCATGCCGTCCTTGTTTCCTCCCAGAGCCATTCCTTTTACAAGTTTGCTGTGAATTTCTTTACTCAGTGTGGTCAATTTCCTCACCCCAGCCTGTAGGAAAGAATCCAGTGGCTGGTCTTGCAGGGCAGAAGGCCTTCTGCTGACAAGCTTATGAACGGCCTTGTTCTCTCAGTGGTGGGTGGAATCAACTCCTTGGTCAACTTCAGAATAAATACAACTTGACCCCCTAAAGAAATTCCTCCTTTCTCCCAAACCAATTGAAAGACCCCACCCACCCTCAAGTAAATTGTCTATAAATTTCCTCAATATGGTCTTTGTGTTTTCAAGATAATATTGAGGATAACAGCTGCAGATGTTAACAGATATTTTCATGGCTGGTATTTTTCATGTTTTCTTTATAAATGTAATTATTTATTTACCACAACAGTTCAAAAAAGATACTCTCTCTCTCTTTCCTTCTCTGGACATGGACGATTTTAAAACAAGAAACATCTTCTAATTCCCCTAACAAATTGTATGTCCATTTGAGCATTAAGCCCTTATTTTCTTTAACCTTATTGCCCCCAAAGCAGTTACCTTAGAAATGTTTGCTAAATGGTACCACTTTGTTAAATTTTCCATTCTTTTAAAAGAATAAGATAGGATAATTCTCATTATGTGGTCCAAATCGAACTTACTATGTTGACTCAGAAGTAGTTATTCTCACACATTATGATATAATATTTCATCAATATTATGAAAATGACTTGGAATAAACAATTTAAAATAAGTGGGCAATATTGTGATTTTCTAAATTACATCTCTCTCTCTCTCTCTCTCTCTCTATATATATATATATATATATACACACACACACACACACACACACACACACATACATATATATACACACTATATATATGTGTGTGCGTGTATATATATATGTGTATATATGTATATATATATTTCACAAATGACCTCGACTAAGTCAGTGGAATCATTTTTTTATGCACTAGCTAACAAAGAAAAATCAAATCATGTTTATGATCAAATTGATGTAATTTGCTAGAAAATGAGAAAGATACTGGCTATGTCACTTTATTTCTTTTGAATTTCATTGCAATTTTGAGACATAATATTAGTCTCCTTCAATGATGGACTTAGTTGATTTCGATTATGATTATATCAAGTATATTTACTATAATCTGTGGGTATTTTTTTCCGTAATAAAATAAGTGAACCACCTTCACGTCCTTTATCCACTCAGTGGATGGTCAGTTTTCCTTCTGAATACCTAAATCGGCTCCTTGTGTCCTCCATTTCCAGACTTCCAGCCCATGTCCTTCTCACCGAGGACGTGGCCTGAGTCTGAGCATTCTGGAGGTCATTCATATTCTTAGGATAGAGCTAGAGGTGGCATAACTAAAGTTAGGCCTTTTTTCTTTTTAAACTTGATCTACGGAAGGGAATAAACACAGGATAGATTGTTCCCCCACCCCCCACAAAGAGGGCCAGCAGGTAACACAGAGGTTAAGGTGGCTGGTTCCTGCATGGCCAACTATGTGACTTGAGTTCCAGACCAGGTGGCTTTAAAACCACACAGGATATATGTATGTGTATGCCCCAAATCCCTAAAGGAGACTGGAGGAGAAGGGATCACAGTGTGGCCATTCCCCAAGAGGTGATTTCTCACTTTCCCTCTCTCTCTGTCTCTCCCTATAACAACAACAAAGCCCCACAGTAACAAATCTCTAACAATACTTCTAAGTCCCCTCACATTCCAATTGACTATCTTTTTGTTACCTCCTACGTTCTTATGCAATGAGAAGTAGAAGCTACTAGAAGGCAGGATCTCTAGGGATTCTATAAATGAGAAGAGAGTGTACCAGTTACAAGGAATTGACAGGCCGTCTGTAGTGACTGGGGCAGGAAGCTCCATCAGAAAAGCCACAGAACAAGGCAAACAGAGAAAAAAGATGGAGTTAGAAGAGGTGAACTGGCTGCATCTAGATTAAGGTGGAAAGAGAAATTGCACTCAGGGAGAAAAAACGGTCAAATAGATCTCAAAGGTCATCTGAATATTTTGCTCCTGATCAGATGATAGCTTCGGTGCATTCTGCTGGGAATGTGTGTGTAAAGCCAGACTTAGACCGTCTCACCTCAGCAGCAGGACAAGGACTGCTAGATGGCCTTAAGTACATTTAAGGAAAAGAAAGGAGTATTACCTGAACTCCAGGATTTATCAAGCCAGATTTCTCCTAGCTAGAAGTGTATTAGAAGGAATCTTGAATGGACTTTTTCAACCCACTGCCCCAACCTCCGTTGAGGTAGTACCATGCTCTGAAGAGCAGAAATATCGCCAGGGCTCCATTTTTAAAAGAGATTCCTAGGAAATTGCAAAAGGCTCAATTTCATTTAAAGAAAGTTTCCAACTTACTCTTTCAATCTCATTAAAAACAGTGCATGATGAATAGGTGTAGGGCCATTCCAGGAGGACTGGGGTAGGTGTTAGACAAGTCAGTCACCTCTCCCAGGTCGAACCTTTGTATTTCTTTTTTATGTCATTGCTAGAGAAGTTTCTAGCTGTAGTTACCTCTGAGGAAGGCAAGGGGAGGCTGTACTGAGAATCTTCCTACTAGGATCCTTCTCTCCCTGGCAGGGATTAGAGCATCTGATAGCTCTTAAGAGCTTGGCTCCTGAAGGAAGGACTGCCCTCCTCTCCCTCCCCTTCCCTTTATTCTCCAAGGCCTTTCTATCCCCACACCTGAGATGGGAGCCCCAGGCATTTCTTAGTTTTGCAGGAACACATACATTTGGAAAGGCCTGTGTGATCCCTGTACTCAGCAAGCCACAACCTCCTCTCTGGACTTACCTCTTGAAACTTCTCAGAGAAGCGAGGAATGAATGAGGGGAGAGGGACAGAGCATCACAGCTGCCCTGAAATTGCCTGAAGGGGCAGACTTGTTCAGAGATACTGTGAACCACAAACCAAGAGCAGCTCCTTTGGGCTGAGGGCAAAGAAAAAGCGTCTGAGTTGGGAACTGTGGCCTGCAGGGAAGCAGCTGCCTAAGGCACAGTGTGGATGGCTACTCACTGGAGGCAGTGCTGGGGGTTTAGGTAAAAAATGAGGGTAGGAAAGGTACTTACTGAGTTCCTTCCACCTGAGGACAGCACACACACGTGCACACACTTTTGTTTTAAAAGATAGGAATTTAATTTTCATAACTAGCCTATCAAACTGCACATCAAGCTACATGTTTACTGTTATTACTTAGTGCTGTATTTTTCAGTAAACTCATTTCAATTAAAAAGTGAGTCAATTTGAAGAAAATATTAAATAACTACTAATACAGCCAATACAAACTGCTTGAAAGTTGTAATGGAGGAACTATGCTTCCTAGATGTGTGAATCCATCTGTTCTGTTTCTGGATAACATCATAGATTTCACGAGGCCAGAAATCGACCGTGGAGCAGAAATAGTGCTGCTTAATTGAACCTAACCAGTTACTTGTTGGTTGAACCCTCAGAGAGAGAGCAAATGATATAGCATCTGATGGAAAGATATAGATTAAAAATGGAGAGAGGGACAGAAGGAAAGTACAACAGAGATATAAAAAAGAATTTGCAAACCATTGATAGAGACTGGAGTAAGAAGTGAGGTGTTCAGCGTTGGAAAGAAGGAGGGGCAAGAAGGAGAAGGAGAAAAGGGCAGAGAGAAAAAGAGAAAAGACATTAAATATAAATGTAAATTGTGGTTCCTTTTTATCAGGGATTTCCTAGGCTTTCTAACGGTAGATACAGCCATGATGGCTACCTAACAAGTATGCCTCGAGATTCCAGTGCACTTTTGCACCATTCCTTAACTCCATTATGACAGGGGTCTGGGTGACACTGTGGCTGAACACATTTCTGAATTCCTATCACTCATCATCCATACGTTGTACAACCAAGAGGGGTCCTCATTTAAGCTGGTAAGAGGGGACATGTGAAGCTCTCCCAGTATAAGCCCCATGTCTCTATTCCTGAGACCCTGTGTTCAGTGTGAGCCTGCTCTGGGTCAGCAGCAGACCGGCCAGCCCTAGTCACTGGGGAGAGGGGCGAGGCAGGAAATGACCACCTGTTCTGTCCACTGTGTGCCAGACACGGTGCTCAGTGCTACGTCTGTGTCACCTCGTTGCTGCCCCACCGCAGCCCTGCAAGGATGGAATCTGGTTGCCTCCATTTTTGTCTTCTTTTTCTTCTTCTTTTTTTAGAAAACAAAACTTTTTTTTTCCAAGAAAAGAGATTAAATACTTTGTTCAAAAACCTAGGGCTTGCAGCCACACGTTCTGGCTTCAGAGTCCAATACTTCAGACTGAGCTAGCAGAATAAAATTGTCCTGATATAGAAAATGTAAGAAATTAGAGGAAAAGAAAGGAGCAGGGAGAGGAGAGAGTATGGTGAGGGCCATGGAGTGGCTGGACCACTGGTGGTAATGTCCGTGTCCGAAACATTCAAGCGATGGGGGGAGAGACAGAGAGGGAGGAACAAGAATTTCGACAGGCAAAGTTTGGCAAGCTTAGAGTCTAACCTAATGAGGAAGAGTAAATAAAACTAACTCAGAAAGAACAGCCAGACTATATAGAAAACACATACACACCCTCTTGAAAAAAATTTCATGGCAAATTATGAATAACCTATGCATAGATTTCATGATTTCTTCTTTAAATAATTATTTAATGTTATTGATTAATTCAATCATTATCATTTGATCAGAGAAAGATAGACACACAGAGAAAAGGAAAGTGAGAAAGCAAGCCACCAGGTCCGCAACTTGAACCGTGGTCGGCCATGTGGAAGTGTCTAGCAGCTTTAACCACCACGCCACCTGCTGACCTGATTTCACGACACCAAAATAAACTTGTGCTTTAATTCCATTTTTTCCCATGGCTTTTTTGCAGTACCTTCCTATGTATGTATGCATACATACATGCACATTTTTTTAGGGTAGGTTCCTAAGTC